GGATATGGTTAGTACTCCCTTTTACTCTGGAGATGCCTCATCTGTTGGAATAGGCCCTTGGGGGTCACAGGGAAAACTTTATTCTACCTACATACTTAAATTGTTGTCATCACCAGAGTATCCAGGTACCTCACAATCACAAATGGATTCTATCTTCACAACATCCCTATGAGATACGGAAGTATTATCCCAATTTTACAAATAGGAAACTGACATAGGGCAGATGAAGTGACCCAACCAAGGTCATATAGGAAATCCATGGCTGAACCAGGAGTTGAATCCTGGTCTCCTGAGTCTCCATCTAGTGCCCTATCTGCTAAGCTATTGCTCCCACAGCAGCTTGCTGTAAGCTATAAAAATCTCTGCTATGTCTATATGCATGTGCTTTTTCTCCTTTAATGCTCTGTTTCTCAGACATCCAAGTTTAGAATTTTTCTGTTGGCCCCATTGTTTCCTGTCATGTACTTGGTAGTGATGTTTTCCTACTTGTGTTATTTGCTTTCTGAAGCCACTCCATTCATGGAGTTCAATAAATGGTGTGTTTGCCATCAGAACAAATTTGAGTCTAGTTTTAATTATAGCAACAAGCTGCTTTCTTCAAGCATGTTATGGGTGTTTCATTATTTTAAATTGTTATCGTCCATATTAATTACAGAAACAGTTGATCTTTTCGGTGAAGCTAGCAGCTGCAAATCCCCCCATTTTTTAAACTTCTCCTTTTAATAGGTAAAACATCAGGTAAAAATTAAATCAAATTGTGATATCATTCAGCAGAAAAAATATGTAGATTACCAAAGCATTGCATCCAGATTTTATAGGGTTACACTGCTTAGATTTACTCAACCATATCCCATAGTATATGATCACAGGCAGCTGCACACTGCATAGCTCAATCACGAACAAAAAAAGCCCTACATAAATCATGCAGCAATGGCAATGTTACTAATGGGACCTTCAAAATAAAAGGATGCTGGAAAGTGCATTTGAACAGGACCTACCTCCTGCCCTGTAGGATCTATGCATAGTATTGTTGGTGAGACATTCATTTTCTTGCAAATCCTCTAGATTTAAAGTGAGGGGCAAAATCACACCGCATGCATTATGCATAAATTAACAATATATTCAGAGTCATAATAATGAGGACAGGTGATTTAGTATTTATTGCATGATATTTTAACACTCAAGCCAGCAAACACATAAACAATCACCTTTTCTCCTTGTCAAAGTCAACATCTGAAATTCATGCAGATTTAGACTGCTGAATATTAGTAGCCACTACTTTCTGCAACTTCTGCATGAAAATAAAAAGCATAGATGAACAGTTAGCGACACATTCCATTCTTCTCACACTTTTACCGAATTCCTATCCTTTTTCATTCAATGAGCTGTACCTTTAAGTGACAATAGGAATTCACTCCTGCTTATGAAATATAAGGTGGTGAGACGTCTCAACTAGAAGATGGACTTTACCTTCCTGTTGTGATTGGGACCCTGTGACTGATAAGATGTTAAAAACCAGACAGGACAAACTTAAACTAAATATTGGTTGAGTGTTAAGAAAAATGTTCTAAGAGGGAAGTCAACTCCAAAAGGAAGTGACATTGAATGACACATTTAAAGCTTGACTGGAGAAAATACTAGACATTTGACTCTAAGAAATAATCCAGTATTGGGTGGGAGATAAGTTGTATAGGTCTCTTCTGTCTGAATCATCTACGACCTTGTGCTTGGTACTGTTTTCAATCTTGGTCACATTACGGTCTATGGAAGTTTTGCCAATAGATCACAGTTACACTGGAAATCTGGAAATCAGAATCTGGCCTACAATGACAGTGCTCTAAGAACAAAAGTTCTCAACGTTTAGTACTGGCTGAAGATTAAATAATTTTTTCTCTTTACATGACAAGAATAAAGATTGGGAAATTTTACAGTGCTTCGACTAAAGGACTTTCAAATGTTTCTTCATTGATCTAGCTCATTCACATCAGGCATACAAGTAAAAAGAAAAAGAAAGGAAAAGAGAAATAAAAAACAAAAAACCTGGAGCTCAACTAATCAATGAAACATTTTCCCATAGGATCCAATGAATGTAGGCTAGTATAAATCAAGAGTTTATAATAAAAGATCAATGATCCTTTTCCCTAAAAGGATCAATAAACACTCCCAAACATGTTTTATCCAATCAAGAAAGACTTTTGCAATGACTAATACTCCAAAATTAATGCTCAGAGCAGTTAGTTAGATACTACTGCTAGTTCTCTACATTTCATGCTTTCTTATCCACGTGTCCCTCCCAGTTTGCATCAGACCAATTCATATCTTTCCTTCCCTAACAGGTCTCTAGATAATACACAGCAGCATTTGTCTGTGTGGCCTAGCATTAAACAGGGACCATTAAACAGTCAACTCCTATCTCTTCTATAGAATTAATGTCATTTTAACTCTTAAGTGCCTTTCTGCACTATACTGTGTAAGCAAGATATTTTTAAGAAGTCACCAGAGAGTCCTCTTTCTTGCCTGGCCTATTCTTCACATTTAAACCAGGGTATGGTAAATGTAATTTAGGTCCTATATCTGGGAACTATCCCTTTAATAGCTAATTTTATTTCTCCATTTTCAGATAGAAACACACAAGGAGGATTGACTCCCCCTTTGTAACAGCAAATGCAACCAATTGAGCTTCTGTTGGTGTTCACAAGCTGTGCATTTTACTACTTATATGATAGTTAAAGATATAAACAAGGCATTTATCAAGATTTTTAAAGTAATTTTATTTATCCTCCTGATGTTTATAATAAGCTCTTTCGAAGCTTGAAACAGAAATTCTGATTTGCTTGCCAAAATTTGTTTTTGCCACCCTGTGTATTTATACTACACTTGGTTATTATTGTAGGGTTGCGAATGAGAGCTGAGTTGTTAGTATTGCTGGGAGCACAGGATTTTCTGGTTTGAGGATTTTTTTCTAAATTATTATTTTAAAATTATTATTACATCATCATTAAATTATTATATATCATATTTTATATAGTATATGTATCATATATTATATTGTTGATATTAAATTATTAATAATTATTTATTGCATTATTATTTTTGAAATTATAATTTTAGACATTATTATTATCTGTTTATATATTTTTAATGATGCCATTTCTTTTTTAAAAAGCACAAGAAAATGACATTAATTTCGCAGATAAATATGGTCAGGAGCATCTACTTGGGGGCATAGGTTGTACCCATTGCATTCTTCCCTTTCTGCTACCCAAAGCCTTTTGGTGAGGTAAAGGGGAGGTGTTGGCAGAACAATGAGTTATAGAGTTGACGCCACAGTGAGATAGTTCATATCCCTGAGCTATTGTTGCAGGCTATTTGCAGACTCAGACAGATACAGTTGCTTTGATTACATTCAGTTCATAATTTCAAGCTTTTCCTTTCAACCATGAGAGCTAGACTTTCTTATTTTTAAGAAAACTGAGATCTGATGTTACCCATCTGATTCCAGGAGCTGGGACCCAGATCCTCAAAGATCTTTAAGCACTTCCTAGGACCCTATGTACAGGCTTTTAGTGTGTATGCCTTAATCCAGCCCTGTATTCATAGTTTCTATTTTTTATCTTTTGAATGCTCCAGGATTTGCTCTTATCAATCTTCTTGCTTGCTGCAGGCTCACTTACTAGCTTGCTGCACACATGAGAGAATGCAGCTCTCTTCATGTGACAGAGGTTTTGGTTGGGCCTGCAAAACCATTTCCCCCACCCCCTCTCTCAGATATAACCAACAGCTTTTCATCTTGATCACAGCTCTGCGGAATCTGAGGATGGTTAATGAGATGACACTTTGGGACTTACTAGGCTCATTTAAAAGGTGTGTGAAACAGGATCTTCAGGTCATTGCCAGCCTGCTGCTGCAGGAGAAGCTGAGTCTGTGATGTTTGTGCTGAGTCTATGAACAGTTCCCTACACCTCAAAGAAATGTTTCAAGGGACAATAGTCTGAATAAGCTGCTGATCCAGGGACCACGGGGCCTCTGGCAAGGGTTTGGTGAATGTTAGCACTTGACAAACATTAAATAGGTATTCATTACAACCTCCCTTGTGAAGCAGGCGACCATTGATGTCCTTGTTGTACAGATGGTGAAACTAAGCCATAATGGTAAAACAACTTGACTGAGACCAAAAAAGATAGTCCGTATCAAAGCCAGAACTAGTATGCAGGAATCCCTTGCTTTTTCCTGAAGTTACCCCACTACTCCTTGCTGATATGTTCACTGTTAATGTGGCCCCTTTTTGTGACCAGAGATCACACTGGTCACTCAGCTGCAGGCAGTCAGCCTGGAGGAAGCTTGCAGAAGCAATAGCATGATCTGCAGCATTGCCTCCCACAGCCATGAATCAGGCTGAGATCCTCCCCACAGTCAAGGTGATGCAGAGATAAAATCTCTAGACACCATTAATAACTGCCTTCTGGAGCAGCTAGTCCTGGAACCCACAAAAGGAGAGGCAATTCTTGATTTAGTCCTAAGTGGATCACAGGATCTAGTGCAAGAGGTGAATATAGCTGAATATAGCTTATGTGTGTATAACTCACATTCCCTCTGAAGCACGTGGCATTAGCTATCTAAAGACAGGATACTGAGCTAAATGGACCATTGGTCTGACTCAGTATGGCCATTCTTATGTTCTGAGGTTATCTATGGCTGTAGGTTTCAGTATCCCAAAGGCCAGCCCTGGATAGCAGTAGATGGAACCATGTATAATGCACTGGGCCAAACTCATCCTTGGTGTAAAAAAGTACAACTCCTTTGATACACACCAGGGCTACATTTGGCCTGTTTGCATTTGTTATAAATGAGCAAAAGCAGTAATACATAATGTATCTCTTTTAAATGATGGCTATAATAGTCTATAATGTATATATAAAATTATACTCAGCATGTGTGTTTATATTAGGAATTAAACAACTATATTGTTTTTATAACGGAAAAGATCTCTGGAAACAATAGCAGCAAAATGACTTTTATTTGCTAAGAACAACAATTCAAGACTGCTAATCCCAAAAATTTTTACTACAGGATCAGCTAACAAGAAACACATGACTCTTTAATGACACATTATCACACAATGACAAAGTAATAGGATGCATGTTGCTACTGTTTTGTTTTGTTTGTGAGTTAAGATGGAGAAAAGCAATTTGCCATTCACATTTTAACTCATTATTGTACATTTCCCATATGCTATCCATGTTTCTTTCCTTGCTCTTTTAGTAGGACAACTACAAAAAGCCACATCATTGATAAGTAGCTTCACGATCATAGCCAGTTAGGATAGCTACTGGTCACTAGTTCAATGAAATCACAACCGGAGAAGGGGGAAAGTTTTGTTTCTTTAGCCAGGGAGGGGAAAGGAGGAGAAATAGCCCTGTGACCAGAAACAGAAAGGCTGCCCAAAAAGTTTTGAGACACCGCAGCTAGAAGTAATCCAAGAGAGCAGGGCCCAAATAGCATTGTGAACAATCCTATTAAAACTATTTCAAATCAAGAATCTTGGTAGGGGATGCAACCAGGCTGCATATTCAAGACTTGCTTCTATAGTTATAGTGATGGTAGGTCCAATCAATGCACAGATACAGAATCTGGAATTGTGAAACAGAAAAGGAGTGAGGAGAATTGCCATTTCTAGACAGTTTAAAACAAACAATGCCTTAGAATCTTCACTGCAGCTGACAGGTTAGGGAAACTCCGTAGATGTGCAGAAAACAGTAACAGATTTTGCATATAGATTGTAATTTCTATCATTGGCACTGAAATGTTAAGCATGCAAAAAAATAAGCTTTTTATATACAAAAAAATTCTATTGTGCCTTGTTGTCCTTACCTTTGAACTGCAGGTGACTATGCAGCGATGTTACAGGACAGAGATACGCTTGTGAAATATTCACGAGCTGATGTCTTTGCAGCCCTGTGGGACCTGTGAAGAGCTCTTTTTTCCCCCACATCTCTCTCTCTCAGACTTTAAATAATGAGCAGCAGAAAAGGTATGAGACAACATGTCTGTGTGTCTCCTTTGAAATCTTTTCTTATATTACCTTGTTATCTGTTCTCAAGAGCAGCAGGTATTCCAGGAGTTCAGAGTGTATCCATAGCAAAAACACCCAGCAAAACAGAGTGCCAGAAGATATAGCTTCTGGAACCAGATTCAGTAGGTAAAATACAATACTAGTATGCAGGGATGGGGGCTTGGTTGTTGGGGTGCAGTGTGGTGATGAAGAGAGAATTTTTGCCTAGCAAAGTTTGGGGAGAATAAATGTTATTGTTTGATCTGGGAAACTGATCTCGTACCCTCAATCTTGTCTCTTCACATAAAATGTCTTTGAATGAAAGCTACAAAACTTTATTAATGTTAAAGATGGCCCAAGCTGAAAACTTCATATCCAGATTGGAATTTCAAGCTCTCCAGTGTTCAGGAACATTCAGATAAGTGGTTTCAGTTTAGCCCTTTGTCACAATCATAGGATGAAAATAGATTTGGAGCTACCCCTGAGTTATTGTCTATGCTTTGTGCTGCATGGGGCACATTGAAGGCAAAATTCCAATCTGCTATGAGGTCTGACTTCAGTAGAACTGCATCTGCTTGCACCAGGTCTGATTTGGCCTGAGTGTGCATAATAGCAAAGTGAAACATGGAAAAGATCTAAAGGGACAATCCATCCCCATGCCAGGACAGGATGTAGTCCCCTGACAGAGGGCACATCAGATATTATATTCCCAGAACTCTAACCCTGCTAACCGTTTTTTATTCCCCATACATTTGAAAGTTGCTTATATAACAGGTACTTTCCCACAGTGGCTTTGAAAGCCTTTATTTTCTTTCTTTTATTATTTCAACAGACTAACAGACATTGCAACACAGATGGCTGTAAATCAAATCAAGTTGAAATGTAGGTCTGACTCATCTCTGTACAATATATGATTTGTTTGCATTACATTATCTTGGAAACCTATAACCAGTATGGACTAACTACATGTTCACACATGGCAAAAAAGATAAAAGTTCTCTGATAGTAACATAAAAGCTAAATAAAATTACAGATAAGTTTCAATGTGAGACTTGCTTTGTAATACCCTTGAAGAACTATTGGTGTCAGGTATTATTAATTACTATTATCATTATTACAGTAGCATTCTGACACCTAGAAGCATTGTGCTAGGTGCTGTAAAAGTTACAGTGAGACAGTCCGGGCCACAAAAGCTTACAATCTAAATAGATATTATAGACAAAGCATCAGCGAAATGAAGGATTATATCCCCATTTTACACACGGGGAACTGAGACACAGGGAGACCTAGTGACTTGCCCGAGGTTACATAGAAGGTCTGTGGCAGAGTTGGGAATTGAACCTGGATCGCCCAAGTCCAGTTCAGTGTTTTACCCACAAGATCATATTTTCTCTCTAAAATGTAACAATTTGCTGTAAAAAACAGCATGGTCTTTAAAGCAGTAGAGGACAATCTTTGTCTCACTGAGGGCAGTATCAGTTTGCCAAAAAAGCAACATGGTCCAATGTACCTTCCATATAAATTTAGAACAAATGCACAAACAACCATTGTGATTTTAGGGAGGAACAAGGTTTGTTGCAAAGTTTACCAACACTGAGAACAAAAAGCCAAGGTGATAAGTAAAGTCATAAGAGCTGGAGAGTAAACATGAGCACTTGTCTGTTAGATGAGTTAGTGGCCTATTTTGGCCACACTTCTGCATCTGAGACATAGCAAACCAAATTGAAGAGTCCTTGGGGCTTGTATTTAGGGTTCTGCAGACCGTACTGTGAATAAACAGTAAAGGGGAGATTTTCAAAGACAAAAGTTTTGGCTTTCCATAGCAGTTGGGCACTTATATTTTGTGTCTTTGAAGGTCATCCTGGTAGCTATAAAAGATTCCATTTAATCTCTTATGATGTTGCTCCCCATGGGTAATCCCACTTACTCACACGAGTAATCCCATTTAGGTCAGTGGGACTATTTGCATAACCAAAGGTTTCATGATTGGGCCCAATATAAAAAATACACCATTCCATTATTACAGCCTGATTTCCTTTCGTTTAAGTTCCTTTTGTTAAAATGCAGATTTTTTTTAGCATGATGGGAGCTTTAGTCATTACTTTTCAATGTTAATGTTATTGCTTTCCTATAGTTGCTGTTGTTTGGTAGTTCTAGGGGGCCTTGTCTAATCCCATATGTAACATGTTTATTAGATGTAGTATTTTATCTCTTGGATTCTGTACCTGACACTATCATTTCGTTCTTATTTCAATAAAAATGATCTCCCTCCTCCTGGCCCTGACAGAAGCAAATGGTTTTCTTTATCACAAGAGAAAGTTAGGAAGGTGGCCTTCAAAAAGACAAAATGAACTGTATCTATGTGTGCCTTAATTCAATTTGTAGCATAAACTCCAATCCTAATAAAGTAACTTCATAACATTAGTTAGAACCGGAATGGAGCTGGGGGGGGGGTTGGTTTGTTTTTTCGTTGTTTGTTTTTAATATGCAGGCAGCCAATCCTAGTGTGTTTGGTTTCATAACCTATATCCTTGTGAAACTAGAACAAAATATCACAAATGCTCACATGGTTTCTGATTTTCATCAGGAATTCTCTATCTGTGTGCTTTAATCAAGTGATAATAGGTAGGAACCATTCCAACTTTCAGCTGACAAAAGCACAATACAAGTTGTTTGATGAGAACTCCACCTTGGATACAAATTCCAGGTAGATTTTCCCAGGCTTTGTAAATCTATTAAAAAATAATATATTCTCTACATAATTAGATCCTGAAAGCAAAAGCAGTGAGTAGAGTAATTTATTTGGAATGCAAAACCATCTAAAAAATAAAGACATAATTTTAGCTATCAGGTGTAAGACTCATAAATGAGTTTCCAAAATCTTTAGCTGCTAAGAGCTTGAAATGATTCCCATAAGAAACGCATAACCTACTCTGGAAGAAAGGACCTCCGCATCCACTAAAGTATAGCTATGTAAATATACTACATATATGTTTGTCAGAGGCCATTCTTGCATACAAGTTCTCTTTTTGTATTAATTTTCAATAACTGGTCAACATCTGTGTATGCAGCCAGCGAAGTTGCATATAATGCAATGGACCCAAAGGTTGTTAGCGCCCAGTGATTGCAAAGTGCAAATTCCCATTGCATGCTTGCAAGTGAGATTACATACATTATTGAGGTGACAGGTATAGTATGCAATGATGAACCTTCTGTCAGTCAGGCAGAGGTCACATTAGAATTAGTTGCTCAAGAAGCCAATCAGCTTCTCTCACAGTCTTAAAAAAAATCTATTTAATATCTTTCTCCCCTGGAAAATGGGGAACAGAGTTGATGTTGTTTGCTGGTGTCTAGTGGTCAGAGATTTAGAGTGCTGAAGCTCAGGAGGTCTCCTTTAACTGTGCTAGCTGCATTCTTTGTGCCAACATAAATTGCTGCCTTAGCTGAGCCCCTCAGCTTTCCCACAAGGGAATATGGCAAAAAGCAGTAACATGAACAGTACTGGGAAGCAATGAGTTTGATCCCAGTGTTGGCGAAGCCAAAATAAAATCACTTTGGTCGCCCATTACTAGGAACATCATTGATTTTTCCAGGCTTAGTGGCTTATACAAAACCTATAAAATAGGGTTAGTTTAAAATGGACACCTTAGCAGGCTGACCTGCTGCTTTTAGGAATATAAAGAGATGTCCAAATCTTACATGGAAGTATACATAGTAAAGTGAATAAAAGGGACAGCATAACTGTCTTTTGATTGATAGTCACTAGCAATACAGGGAGCATAACTGTCTTTTGATTGATAGTCACTAGCAATTATCCAGTATCATGCACAGATAAGAGTATCAAACCTAGATAATACCCAGGACTCTGTTAATCACATTGCTAATGATAATAGCTTAGTCTTCTTTATATCATGTAGGTACAATGTTACTGATAGCTACAGCATGTAAGAGATAGTACAGGTAAAAGGGCAATGCTATTTTAAGTTAACACAAGCTATTCTGAGCAAATCCTCAGACTAAAAGTGTTGAACAAATGTAAGATCCTGATCCAAAGTCATTAGAAGTTAATGAAATTGGGCCCAATATGGGCCTTTATTTTCTTTTACATCCTTTAATCCGTCATTTGCACATGCTAAGCTGGTGGTTAAGCACCTGGCTAACTGGTCTATGAATGCGAACATTGGCCTTTAACATGCTATGTGGCTGACTCACATTTTTGTGTACTTAAAAATTAAAGGGGCCCTTTCAAAGAGTATCTCTCTGGACCAGGGATTTGCAAGGTTTGGCATGTGGCCCACCAGGGTAAGCCCCCTGGCGGGCCGGGCCGGTTTGTTTACTTGCCGCGTCTGCAGGTTCAGCAGATCGCAGCGCCCACTGGCAACGGTTTGCTGCTCCAGGCCAATGGGGGCTGCGGGAAGCAGCGGCCAGCACATCCCTCGTCCCACGCCACTTCCCGCAGCCCCTATTGGCCTGGAGCAGCGAACCGCGGCCAGTGGGAGCTGTGATCGGCTGCTGTGGATGCAGCAGGTAAACAAACCGGCCTGGCCTGCCAGGGGGCTTACCCTGGCGGGCCACGTGTCAAACATTGCCGATCCCTGCTCTGGACAAAAGTCAGCCCTGGCATAGAGCAGTTCAATGCACATTGAAGTAACTGTTTTAGCCAAGGGTAAATTTGTTTTGTTGGGCCTACTCTTGAATTGGTCAGACAACTTTTTGCCCATTTTAGCAACTTTCTAATCTTGCCAACACTTACATAAGAGCTTAACTTTATTCATGTGAGTAGTCTGATTATGTAAGTATTTTCAGGATCAGGCCTTGAATTTGTTTCTACCATACTTAGTTTATACACAGGAAGGGGGTGGTTTAACATAACACCTCTAAGGAGTCTGTAAGCAATCATTGCATTTTTCTAACCAGAGGAATCCGTTACGAGTGTAGTGTTGGTGTATATTGAGGAGCCTTTTGTAGAGGCCATCACATGCATCTGTGGTATGTAATGAAGGAACTTTTTTTGGCTGCAAAGTTTTTTA